GCAGCCCCACTTGTCCTCCAAAGGCCAACCTTCACCTAGTTCTCCAAACAGGCCAGTGACCTCTCTCCTGCCTACAGGGTCAAAGCCAGGACTCCAAATATTTCCTAACCTCCCGGACACCACCAAGGGTTATTTCCCCTAAGGTGGGTGGCTGTTCCAGGCATCGGACCTGGAGGCGGCCCCCATGGTGTCCCAGAACAGCTTGGGAAAGGGGATGCAAAGCACCTAGAAACCAGCACGAGAATTATTCGTGTTACTCCAAATCAATTTTCTTTTGCAATAGGGTAACAGGCCCCCGGGGCAAAGAGAGCAGTAGGGACTGTATTTCTTTAGCTGGTTTTTTGGCAAGTGAAATGGTGTCATTTCCAATGAAAGAATAAGGAAATTTGAGATTAACCCGGCCTGCAAGGTGGCTGGAAAACATGGCAAAATTATTCTCACTCATTACTGGTGGTTCCCTGTGGCAGTGGAAGGAGATACACTGTTTTCCACTGTTTTCCACAGCTCCATCAGTAGCTCACTAATTGAGCTGGAGGATGGGGACAGGGTGCTTGATGAATGCACAGCTGAGACCACCCCAGGGGGATGCACTGGAGAGCTGGGGTAGGATACAGATGAATTTGGCAAATAGACAAAAAAATGAGGGGGTGTAATTCTGGACAGACCAATGCAGGATTCTGCTCTTCGGTATGAATAATCAGTTGTGCAAAGGGAGGCTGGAGAGCAAGATTGCAGGAAAGGGTGAATCACAGCCTGAGCAATGTCATTTGGGGGGGTGGGGGGGTTGTGGTTATTGTTACTATTTATTTATTTATTTTAAAACCAAGCTGACTGGGATGTTTGCTCTTAACATACTCGTGAAGCAAGACACCCAGTGTTTGAAGCCAGCAAAGCCTGAGCCTGGAGTTTGTGCCCAGCTGCCTGCACTACCCCTCCAGGTACAGGAGGAGCAGCTGGCAGAGCCTGCAGGATTTTGTTCTGGACACAGCAAGTCTGTGAACATGCAAGAGGGTGCTGCAGGGAGTTAGGAACACACTCCCAGCATCCAATGGAAATAGGAGAAGTAATAAGCTTAAATTTCAGCAGAGATTCAGGCTACTCATTAGGATGCTCTGTGAGCCTAGCAGCTCCCAGGGAGCTGTGGTGGGATGTCCAAGACCAGTGTGGTCACTCTGGGCTGACGCAGCAGTCGATCTAGGGATGGCCTGGATGACTTCTCAAGGTTTCCCCCAGCCCTACATTACTACAACCCCATGAAATGGCTGTGGAGCAGCACAGGCTGCTCCTTCAGGGCACAGGCACAGACTCTGACCTGGTACCTGAGCTCTCCGGTGCTTCCCCAACGCTTGGGTGGCAAAGGCAGACCTGCATGAAGTCTCCCCTGCAGCTGCATTTGCCTGTGCCTTGCAAGAACTTTCTGTTATCCACCCAAGGAATGCAGGTTGCCTACACCGAGGCAGTCCAGAGCCCAGCCCAAGCCCTGCAGACCCAGGGGAGAAGCACAAATCCCTGTGCCCTTACCGGAAACCTGCCACCTCACCCAATGCTCCTGTCCAGCTTTTCCTAGAACACAAGAAAAAACAAATACAATCAATAGAGCAGCACAGCAAGGCTGTGCGTGGGTCCTGCCTTCCAGAGTGAAATAGGAGTTTCTGGGGAAGAGTGGGGTTCAGAAAGCAGCGTGATGCCACTGTCTCTGCTGGGCACCCATCTTCAGGCAGCAGCCAAAGCCCTTGTCAGAGCACCCTGTTCACAGCTGTTTGCTGGGCATTAAAAAAAAAAGAAAAGAATAAGGCACTGACCCTGTTGAGATGACGGATGACAAAGTTTTTCTTGTAAGAATAGGAAAATCAAGGCTCGCTCTGTGTTGCATGCTGCGGGCAGGAGGCAGCAGGCAGCGCTGTCGGGCAGGGAATGGCAGGGAGAAGCCATCGAATGCTAGTGGCCCAGCAAGTATTCAATGAATAATCCCAAACTGCCCCCAAGAAGCTGGTGTTTGAAAAAGGGCCGCCCAGAAGGAAAAACAACCAAAACCAAAACCCTCCACTAGATCCTATATGTTCTCCTTGCATTTGCCATGTCTCAGCTGGAGGGTCCAGGCAGGGGACCCTTGCCACATCACAGGGCAGCTACAGGCGTAACGGGGAACGCATGCCTCTGCTGTGCCCTGGCGTGCAGGGACACGGGTGAGGAGGCTGCGGTGCCCCCTCCCACAGTGGGTGAGAGGGGCCGTGCCCAGGGTGCTCCCACCCAGGCTTCCATGGGAAAAACACAGTTTGTGTCCAAGAGGCTTGTGAAACACATTGAGTCAGGGGAAGGTTCAGCTGGGTGATGGGCTGCTGGGGTGGGGAACACCCGCACCCAAACCACAGTGCCAGACACCCTGAGCATTGCTCCGCCTGTCAGAGGATGCTCTGGGCAGAGCTGCACTGGTGAAACTCCCTCGCAAGGAAGCAGATGATGTTATTCTCCTTTGCTGGAAAAAAGGGAGAAAGATGCTTCCCCACTGCGGAAAAACATCTGGCTGCAGCTGTGCAGAGCAGGACCCAGCCCAGGTTTCCCTGGCTGCCCATGTTTCAGGGGCACCACACTTTCCCCTTCAGCAGCAGCTGGGCACCTACCGAGTGCCCAGGAGCAGCTGCCACCAGCTCTCTCCCTCGTGCTCCCACCGACACCCTGGGAGCGGGGCAACAGGCACCACCATGGACCTGGATGCTGAGCAGCAAAACAGCTTGCTCATTAGATTTATTAGCGAGCCGGTCCTGCTGTGTTTTGCAACCTCTTTTCAGGATACAGCGAATCAGCCTTTGCAAGACCCATAACAGTCAAGGGCTGATTCTCTTACTTAGCTTTTATACCAGCCTCCGCTGCCGTGTGCCTTGCCACCCAGCCCAGCCCCAGCACAGACCTGGTTTATTCACATAATTACAAGGAAAACAACACTTAAACACTGGGCAGCAAACCAAAAGGCAAACTCCCTCCCGCCACCCCAGGATGCTCAGGCTATGTGCAGGTTCCCAGTGCCCAGGCTCACTGTGACTGGGATCCACTGGTTTCCCTATGGTTCCCCCAGCCCTGCCCACAGGACAGACAAACCCGCTGGGAGTAGCAGGAGCCTCTGCCCCTTCCCGAGCCCCACGCACAGCCCAGGGACGCAGCCTTACCTGGGGGGTGGCTGGGGCTCACGGGGGGGGGGCCAGTGCCAAGGGGGCAG